AATATGATTTGGCAACTATTTTTAGAGCGTGTGTGTTGTGTTGTGAGTTTCAGACTTTATGGGTCAAATCTGTGTGTTTTGGTACAAGTCCGGGATTTGCGGCATTAGCGCAATGTGGGGAAAATTGTGTTAGGCTAATTTATGTCTTGAACAGTGAGCTGACATGCTGTGATGTAATCCTGTGTATTGTGAGAGGAGTTTGTATCTGGGGAAAGTCTCTACATGGTAGGGTGTTTCTATGTGTTATAGTGCCTGTTTGTATACTGCTTGGGCAACTCTTTGCAACATGGAGTAACTGTGAATTGTGGGATCATCCTTTATATTGTAGGATGAATTGTGTCTTGTGATGCTATTCCACACCTTGTCTAGAGAGGTTGAGTGTTGTCATTGACTGCAAGTGTTTTGGGGTCAGTCTTTGTGCTGAGGGACGTGTGTGTGTTTTGTGTCAACTCAGTACCGTATGGCACATCTGTGTGTCATGAGTCAACCCTATACAATGCATGGGGGATCTGTATGCTCTGGGACGGTTTTGTGTGCTTTGGTGTGGGCCTGATTGGTGGGAAGTCTTGGCACTGTGTCTAGGAATTGTAAAGGATGTCTAGATGGCTGTGTCATGGGTGGAAGAGATGCATGTTGGAGCATGTTTCTTCACTGTAGGAAAAGTCATGTGACATGAGATGCGTCTCCCCATTGTGGCTTGATACTATGCATTGTGAGGCATAGCAATGCTTTGTGTTATGATTCAGTGTTTTGGGGACAGTCTGAGTTGTGCATTTGTGTCTGTGCATTGGGATTTTTGCAATTCAGCATGCTGTGCAATGAGCTAGTCTATGGGGTGAATCTGTATGGTTGGTTGTGCATGGGCATTGTAGGATGTGTCACTGTGCTGCAGGGCAGGGCTAGGTGCTTTGTGCTCCTATTTTCCCTGTAAGCCAGGTGTTTGCACTGCAAGGTGAGGCTGTGTTTGAGGCACATCTCTGTTGTAAGGCATGTCTGTGCACTGTTGTACAGCTATGTGTTTTTGAGGCAAGTCTGTGTGCTGTACATTTCTGTCTGTGCATTAATATGTTTCTTGGTATTGTGGAGTGAATCTGGGCATTATAGGGTGATTATGGATGTTGGGGCACACATCTGTGCATTATAGGACATGCCTTTGTGTTTGGGGACAAGTCTAGGGGGTGTGGTGCTAGATCAGACTGAGTGGGGTGAACCAGTGCTTCAGGGAATAAGGCTGTGTATTGTGCAGGATTCAGTGTGTTATGAGATGTGTTTGTATTGCATATGAGGTATTCTGAGATCTGTCTGGATTGTGGAGCACATCTATGCAGTGTATGGTTTATCTAGGTGTGGATGGGCAAGTCTGTGAGTTGGGGGCCATAGCTATGCATTATAGGGCTTCTTATGTGGTGGGGAAATGCAGGGACAATACTTTGCAGTGAGCCTGGGTGTTGTGGTTCTAGCATTTTCATCGTGGAGCAATTGTGTCTATCATGGAGCAAATCAGTTTATAGCATGAGTCTGCACATTGTAATTCCAACCTGTGCATGGTAGAAGAGTCTGTCTGTTGTGTGGTATGGTTGTGTCATGAAGGTCTTCGCATTGTGGGGTTTACCTGTGCTTTGTTGGGTTTTATACTTGGCATTGTGGGGTATGGCTTTGCTGTGTGATGAGTGCACATTGTGTGGCAGTATGGGCTTTGTGGAACATACCTGGGCACTGTTATTATCCTGTGCATTATGGGGTGAGCTTGTGGGTTGCGGTTGTGTTCATACTTTGAGAGGCACATCTGTGTGTTGTGGAATGTATTTGTGAGTTGTGGGGTAATCTGTGAGCAGCGAGTTGACTCTGGATGTTCTGAGGTGAGTGTGGGTAATGCAGGCGGAGTTGCATTGTGGGAGATATCTATGAATTATGGGGCATATCTGAAGATTGTGGGAGAAGTCTGTGGTTATAGGTTGTATTTGAGTGCTATGGGCCCTGCATATCTATTGGGCGTTGTGATATAATTCTGTTCCTGGGGAGGTGTGAGTTGTGGAGGTCCCTGTGCCTTGTAGTGTGTCTACATATGGTGAGGTTAGAATGCGCACAGTAGGGCAAGATGGTGTGTTGTGGTGCCATTCTCTACTTTGTGGGAGGAGTCTGCACTGTGAAGTTGAGTCTGTACATTGTAGGGGCATGTTGGGGTACTGTGTACCAGCTCTGCGTATTGGAGAATTTTTTGTATGTTGTAGGACAAATCTTGATATTGTGAAATGGTATTTACTGGGCTGATTCTCGATGTTTTGGGTTAAGTCTTAATTGTGTGGAGCCAGTGAGTATGTGTTATGTGCCTAGGACAGGCATCATGGGACATGTGTGCCTTGTCATATGACTGAATATTGAAGATCGCACTTGTGAGGAATGGGCCAATCCATGTGCTATGGGACGCGCCTGTGTGTGATAGAGCAAGTCTGGATCCTGTGGAGAGATTCTCTGCATTATAGGGCAAGTCTGTGTGCATTTTGGGGATTTGGGGTGTACAGATAATGTTCATGGGTTGTGATAGGGATGGTGTTGGAGAAGTCTGTTTGTTGTGGATTGTTTCTAGGGATCTTAAAGTGAGTTTCTGTGTTGTGTGGCCAATGTGTTCTGTGGGGATTACGTGTAGTGTCAAGCATGATATAATGGATAGGGTGCATTTAGTTGAATGGGATGAGTCTGCATGGATGAGTTTCTGTATCGCAGGTATATTTGTGCACTGCAATGTGTGTCTAGGTGTTGCGTGATGAGTCTGCTAGGTGTTATGCAGAGACTCTGTGTGGTAGATGCTTCTGGGAGCTGTGGGCTAAGTGCAGTCAACATGGGAATTGTAAGGAAACAGTGGTGAGAGTGTGAGTTGTGATGTAATTCTGTGCTTTATGGGGGTATACTCTATATGTTGTGGGTTAATTCTAATTCTTTTAGATTGAGTTTTCCTGTTATGGTCCAATTCCATGTGTAGAAACAACAACAATAACAACAACAAGATCAGTTAACATTGATAACATTCATTCTGTGCCAGGCACTGTTCCAAACACTTTCGAAGGCATTTGCTTATTTATTCCTCGTAACAGCCCTAATAAGTACCGTTATTATTCTCAATTTATACCTGAGGAAAATAAGGCACAGAGAGGTTAAGAAACCTTTCCAAGGTCACACAATTAGTAAATCATGCATGTGGGACTGAAACCGGAGAGCCTGAATCTTAAATGTAAGCTTTTAACCACAAATTAGACTGCCCCTTTGTTTTTGGGGTATATTGTGCATGTCAAGAGGACGTCTCTGGGCCTTGTGAGGTACATCAAGATGTTGTGGCATGTCTTGGGTTGCAGAGTACCTAGGGATTGTCAGATTTATCCAAGTATTGTGGGGTTTATCTGTCAATTGTGGGGTGGGTTTTGTTGAAAGGACATTGCTTTATATCAAGTTTGGAAGTTGAGACACTTCCATTGTGGTCAACTGTGTAATTTGTGTATTGATCTTCTGCTTTGAAGGAAAGATGTGTAGTGATGTGATTTTGTGAGCTGTCAGAGAATTTTGTGTGTTTCCAGGAGTAACTATTTTGAAAGGTATGTTTATTGGTTGTGAGTCTAGTCCTTGAATTGTGCCATGTTTCTGTGTCTTGTGGAGTGAGTACGGGTATCAGTGTCCAAGTCTGTGCTTTATAGAGGAAGTTTGTAAATTGTGATATAATTCTGTGAGTTGTGGGGGAACCGTGTGTGCTGTGGGAAATGTGTATATGTTGTAGGGGGTCTCCAGGTTTTCTGAGGCTAATTGTTACATGGGGAGCTGTGCATTTTCGGATGTCTCTGTGTGTTATAGTGTGTGTGTGTGTGTGTGTGTGTGGTGTGAAGTATGTCTGTGCATTTTGGATCTGTCTGTGCTCATTGGAAGTATCTTTGTGTTGTAGCGCATGTCTGTGCATTGGAGACAAGTGAGCATTTGGAGAGGGGACAAGTTTGTGCATTGTACAGTGAGGCTGTGTGTTATTCAATGCTGATAAAGTTTCTCTGTATATATTAAAGTACCTCTAGGTGCCTTGGGAGATGTGACATGTATCATGCAATAGTCTCTGTATTCCTGAGGCAAGCCTGAGTTTATGGGGCAACCTCTTATGTTGTGGGTTTAGTCTGTGTTATAATGCAATTCCATGCATCATATAGGGTATGTCTGTGCAGGCTAAGCTGTTTTGGAGTGAGTTTATGTACTGGAGAGCATGTCTAGGTGATGTCTAGGATGTCTTGGATGAGCCTTTGTACTGTTATAAGTCTGCATCGTGGAGCACCCCTTAATTGTTGGGTGAGTCTGTGTTGTAGGATGAGTCAGTATCATGGTTCAAGTGTTCTAAATTTAGGAGCACAAATTTTGGAGCATGTCTGTAAATAGCAGATATATCTACACATGCAACACAAATTTGTGTGTGGTAGGGTGTATTTATGTAATATAGGACTTATCACTGAGTTGTAGGGTGTGTGTGGGTGTTGTGAGTCTGTCTTGTGGCGTGTGGCTAGATGATATGCATGCAGCCTGGACACTGGGATGAGTCTGTGTATTATGGAGCAGGGCTGTGCATAGTACAACAAATTTCTTAACTGTGATGCAGTTCTGTGTGTCATGAGTGGCATCTGGTTTAGGGTTCTGTCTGTACTCTGTAGGGTGTGCGGGTGTTGTGGTTGGAAATCTGTATGTTGTAGAGTGTTTCTAGGTGTTTGGGGGCTAGTCTATGTACCATGTGGTGAATCTTTGTGCTGTCAGATGCTTCTAGGTATTTGAGGTAGGCCCTTTTTGCTTTAGTAGTAATGGTGGTGGTTGGGGGATGACAGTAACATATTAACAATTGTAATAGTTCCTATGTGCCAGGCACTGTACTAAGCACTTAATATATCTTAACTCATTTCATACTCACAACTACCCTTTTGAGTAGGTACTAGTGTTATCTGTTTTACAGATGCGCAAACTAAAGAACAGAGAAATATACTTACCCAAGGTGATACAATTAGAAAGGGATGGAACCCAGATTCAAACCCAGGTAGGATGGGTCCAGATGCCTTGCTCTTAACCATTACACAAGCTGTGTATCTGTTGTAGGCCCAAGTCGTAGCCCAATAGTATGGTAAAGCATGTCTGTAAACTATGATGGAGATCTTTGCATCGCAGGGTTATATGTGTACTATATGTCTACACACTTGGGAATGTTTGTGCGCACCGTAGGTTTTCCATTTTCGAGTAAGTCCATGTTGTGATGCAACTCTGGGTATTGTGGAAGCAATCTACAGAGGGTGCCAAAAAAAATCATATACACATTTTAAGAAAGGAAAACTGTATTAAAATTGTAAAACTCAATATATACCGATAAGAAAAGATGAATGCAAGTCACGTTTGACATGTGTCATTAGATTACGGCAAACTACTGCTTCAGCAACGTTGACTAGTGTCCACTTGTATACATTTTTTTGGCACCCCTGGTATGTGTTTACAGACATGCCTGTGAATTGTCATTTGTGTGGGTGTGAATATGATGTGGGGAAAGTCTATGTCCCAAGGGTTTGTCTGTACTCTTAGGGTGAGTCTGTGTTCAGTGGTGTGGGTGTGTGTGTTTGTGTGTGTTTATTGATGGGAGAATCTAGGCATTTTTGGAGGGATTCTGGGCATGGTTGGGTATATCTTATTTATGGGCAGCAATGTGAGCAGTGAAAGCGGCCTATGTGCTTTGAGGTAAACCTGGCAGGTGGAAAGCAATGGTTGCATGCATTTTGGAACATAGGTTTGCACTGTGCCATGACATAAGGAGTGTAGCTTTGAGGAAGTGAATCTATATGGTGAGTGTGTGTTGTGATGCAAATCTGTGCATTCTAAGGGTGGAGTGTTGTGCTATGGGATGTGTTTGTATGGATGGGTTGCATCTATGTTGTGAGATGAGTGAGAGTATTGGGGATTACGTCTGCAACGGTGCTGAGGGGCAGATGAGAACACTTTGGAGGATGATTAGGTATTGCTATGGCATGAGCATGTCTGTTGTGGAACGAGTCTGTCCATCGTAGGGCCAATTTGCCTGCTGTGGTGCAACGTTATGCATTGTGAGGTGTGTCTATTTACTGCAATGTGTCTGAAGAATTTGATGTGTTTTGTTGATATAGAGCCACAGTGTGTGTTGTGTGGGAACTCTGTATGTTTGGTGCAGGTCTGGATATTGTAGGGCCAATGCATGCACCATGCGGCCAGTATCTGCAGTGTGGGAATTATGTTTTTTGGGAAGTGAACTGGTGCATGGAAGGATAAGTTTGTTGTTGCAGTGCAATCCCGTGCATCATGGGGGGATATACGTGCTGTAATGGGTACTATTGCATCTCTGTGCTGTAGGGTGAGCGTGTCTGAGTGCTGTGGGGAGTCCCTGTGCTATGGGTTTAATCTGTGTACCATGGGGTGAGTCCTTGAGCTGTGGGCAAGTCGTGTCTTGGGGGAAGGTTGTGCATCCTAGAGCCAGTCTGCCTGAGGTGGGGAGGGTCTGTGTGCCACAGGGAGGGATTGTGTCCTGTGAAGACAGTTTGTGTTTGTGGGGTGAGTCTACAGGCTTTTTACGGCAAGTCTGTGTGCTGTGGGGCATCTTGGTTTGGGGGACAGGCTGTTTTCTGCGAGGAGAATCTGTGTTATGGGGACACTCTGTGCTATGGGCTTAGTCTGTTTTTGTTGGGTGAGTCTACTCTATTTGAGCAGTGTCTGTGTATGATGGGGCAAATCTGTGTCCTCTTGGGATGGTCTGTGTCATGGAGTATATCTGTCTGTTGCGGCAGTCTGTACCTCTCTGTGTGGGTCTTCCAGCTGAGTCATGAACTGTACTCTGGTGGGAATCTGTTTATTGGACAGTCTGTGTGCCCTGGTGGGAGTCTGTGTTGTGGGTCAAGTCTGTGTGACGTGGGGTGAGGCTGTGTGCCCTGGTGAAGGTCTGTGTGCTCCAGGGAGTGTCTTCATGCCAGATGAGTCTTCAACCTTGGCGGGAGTCTGTCTGTGTGCTGTGGGGTGGAGTCTGTGTGCCCTGGTGAGAGTCCATGTGATATGAGGGGAGTCTTTGTCCTGGGGAAACTCAGCTATGTGTTTAGTTAGTGGGGCATGTGGAGAATCTTTGTGCTGTGGGAAGCCTGTGTGCCACAGGCAGAGCTCGCGTTCTGTGGTAAGAGTTCGTGTGCCGTGGGGAGTACTTGTGCACTGTAGGGTACCTCTGCGTCCTGTAGAGTGAGTCTTTTTGCCTTGAGAGTATCTGTGCTCTTGGGAGACTGTGTTCTGCAGGGTGAGACTGTGTACTCTAAAGAAACTCTGTGGGGTGACTGGTTAGCTCAGTTGGTTAGAGCATGTTGCTGATAACACCAAGGTTGCCAGTTTGATCCCCGCATGGGCCACTGTGAGCTGTGCCCTCCTTAAAAGAGCCAACTATGCCATTGTAGCATGACAGCAATGTGTAACCAATGACCATGGCTGTTCCCCAATAAGGAAAAAAAAAGAGACTCTGTGTGCCAAAGGGCCTGTGTGATATGAGGACAGTCTGTGATGTCAGGATTGTCTGTGTCATGGGTAGGGTTTATGGTAGCGGGAGTCTGTGTCCCTTAGGGGAGATTTTTTTGGCCTTGGGGAGAATATATGTGCCTCTGCTTGAGTCTAAGTGATATGAGAAATGTCTGTATGCTATGGGGCAAGTCATTTTGCCATGATGCTTGCCTGTGTGTCATGGGCAGAGTCTATGTGCTGTAGGGGTAAATATGTGTTTGTGTTATTTAGCCAGTGGACATTAGAGGGTGAGTTTGTACATAGCAGCACGAGTCTGTTTCAGGGTACGTTTCCTTCAATAGCAATAAATAATAATGGTCAACACTTATACAATGGTTACCATTGTCAGACACTGTCCTAAAGGTGCTATTATTATCCCCATTTTACATCTGAGGAAACTGAGGCACAGAGAGATTAATTCGACTATAGTAAGTGGTAGGTTTGAAACCAGGCAGTCTTTTTTCTGTGCTTACATTGTTATGAATCTCCTCGGCGCCCTGGGGGCATCAGTGGCCTCAAACATTGGGAAGACTTCGTAGTCACTGGTAGACATAATGAGGGAAGGTAATTTGGGAGGAAGAAAAAGTAAGTGCCTCAAAGCCTTCCAAAGATGAAAAGAAAATGCAATTTTTTTTTACAATAACAATAGGAATAACAGTTTTTACAATAACGTTCTATTTACAATAACGATGGCAATTTATCCCAGAAACACTGACATCATGACTGCAGAATAACTCCTTCAGCGACTGAGGCTCCCAAGACCCCTCCTTTGCCTCTACTGCCGCATTCTGCCACTGCAGCGGAGAGTAAATGCGCAAGCCCTGGCGATCTTCCGTTGCCAGGGAAACCAGCCTCCAGTTACAAACAAATCACAGCCTAATGCAGCAAGTCAAGAAATGACTGGGGCTGGGGCTGTGAGCCAAAGGAGCCCCTTGCAATACGGGTGGGGAAAGCATCCTCCCACCCATGGCAACATTTTTTCTTTCAGAATCAGTAAAGGCTAGAGGCCAGTTCAGAAGGCAACAGAGAAAGCAGGCTGTGTTGGGTTTGGGAATGGGGGGGTGTCAACAGTGGGTGGCAGGTGATTTTAATAGTCAAATATTTTTGTGAGCAACATTTACCCCATCTCCCACTAAAAGACTCTGTGTTTTATTCTTGAGCCTCCACCTGCAGTGAAAAGAGGTGAACCATTGGGGTGTGTCCCTATCTGTAAGAGATGGTGGCAGTGGTGGCACAGATTGGGACTCACCCTACCGCCTTCAAACCCTTAGATCAGAATACTGCCAGCAACAGGCTGGCAAACATTATTTATTTCTGCTCCTCATACATTTTTACATATATCCCTCTTATACCATTCTAGAAAACTCCAGGAACTGAGTCCAGACAGCTTTAATTCTCCGAGTACCTGAGGAGTAGAAAAAGAGGTTGAAGGAAGAAATTTAGGAGTAACACTAACCCTGGGGTGGGGGAGGGGAGGGGGAGTATTTTTTGAACACACAATTAGAATGTCAGGTGTGTCCACGAAGAATAGCACATCTGGAACAGTCGTTTTATATATTGGAATTCACTAAATTTTAATTTGTAAAAAAAAATCTCATAACAATTTTAAATAGCTAACATTTTAAAATCCTGTTTGAAAACCACTGTTCTAAACTGCATGTGCCTAGAATTCTTGAAGGACATAAGCATGAACATGATGCTTTAGAATGCTTCCAGAAGCTGCAAGAAGGTAGGGGTACTATTGTGGAATGTAACCATCTTAGGTAGAGAGAAAATGGCTGACCTGTGGAAAGCTACACTCTATACAATGAGAGAACAGTTGTTGCCATTTCAAATCAGTGGAGGAAGGTTGGATTATTCAATAAATGATGCTGAAACAATTGGTGACCTATTTGGAAAAAAAATAAAATTAGACCCTACTTCATACCATATACCAAAAGGAATTCCAGATGATTAGAGATAATTGTAAAAAATGAAGCAATGAAATGACTAGGGAAAAAATACAAGTGAATATATTCATCAAAGGAAAGAAATATCACAAAATCAAAAATTGATAGCTGTGGATATTTAAAAATGTAAAGCTGTGGCATATAAAGATAACTCCAACAAGAATGATAAAAAAATCAACAGGCAAACAACAACTGGAAAATAACATTTTTACCACATATGACAAATAAATTAGGCGATATATATGGGGTTGGAGGTTGGGGGGAGAAACCGTAAACTGCGTCATACCATTTGATCCAGGAATTCCACGCCTACAAATTTTTCCTAGGGGAAAAAAAACAGAAAAACACACAGAGATTTATATGGAAAGATATTCTTTGAATTATAATAGCAAAAATTGCACATACAAACAAACATTCAATAATTGGACATTTAGTGTGACACCTATATGATTGAAAATCATGCCTCCACAAAACATCACATTTCTTGTGGAATATTAAAAAATATGGGAAACTTCTCCCAATAGGTTGTTTAAGAGCTAAAACAGGTTGAAAACTATATGTAAATCTGATCTTCATTTTATATACAAATATATATTTCTATGCATTTATTTGCCTGTATTTAGAGAAGAGAGATTGACAGTTATTATGTTAATAGTAATCATCTCTAGGTTATGGAATTCTGGGTAATTTTTATAGTCATCTTTAAATTTTTCCAAATTTTCTACACTGATATGATCTTTTATATAATTAAAGGAAAAAGACAGCCTTTTAAACAAGATATTTTAATAAGTGTTATATAATCGGTGGGAGCACAGAAAAGAAATTCTTGGAATAAAAAGCAAAGACTAAATGTACCAATGTATACCCATGGAGGGTCAAGCAAAACAAACTCAGTATGTAGTACATAAAGATTACGGAATTATTTGCATGCTAGTAGGTACAGAATTTCTTATACAAGATGGACTCCTGGAAAATTTTCTTCAGTACACCAGAGAATAGTCACATGTCCCTGGATGCGTCAGTCATTCTCTTTGCCGCAGTGCTCTGTTCAACACCCCCTCCCTTTGCCTTCAACATGTTCTGCCCCCTTCCCCCCTGCAAAACATGCTGCCAGCAGACATTTTCAGCCTGAAAAAATGGTCCATCTTGTGGACTTTCTTTTAAGCATTTTCAATCTTAGTTTTCTTTCTGGATTCTATTTTATCATCTAGCTCAAAAATATACCTATCTTTTTTTCTCCTTTCTTCCTGCTGAAGTGTGAAAACAATCTGAATTTCAAAGAAATGAAAAACCATGACTTTAGATATGTTTTCCTTTTTTCTTGCAGAAATAGATCTACAAAAGCAATTTCCAGGTAAAAGGACACGCAAAAGCTTACACATTTGCAGAAAACAAACAGAAAAGCTTTGTTGATAGGAATCTCTGCTATCCTTCTCACATCCCTTTTCAAAGAAAGAAACACTGAGAATATTCTTTCTTTACTGCACAAATTGATGTCCACAAATACAAATGATTTTCAAGATAAAGGCACAGTCACAGTATTACTTTTTTCATGATTTTTCATCCTAAAACCAATTCTTGATCTTTCCCACTCAACACACGTTCATCTCTAACATGAAGTAATTAATGTGCACATCATAGGCTGCCCTCATTCTCAGTTTCTCTCCTGTACAGACATCCAGTCACATGATTTTCTTAATTTCAAAAAATGAGGAATGGTATCATTTACCCTATTACAAAACAACATTTTTTTCCTCATGCTGTCTTCACACTGTGAAAGGAAACCAGAATTGAGAATATCTTGAATCGTAACCCGTTTCATCACGTCTAATGCAAACATCGTAAAGCTGAGATACCATTCTGAATGCAATTTGTCATTTTAGTGACATCTTCGTCAACTCTTATTTGGGGAAATATCTTACCAGACACATAAGGGTGAAGATTCTATATTTTCTTCCAGCAACTCATTCACCATTTAAGAAACAAGCTTTGAACTAGAAAAGTGGCTGTGAAATATTTAGAATTGAATCCATTTTCCCAGTGCCGCTGATTCGAATCAGAAATTCCTATACAGTTCTGTATTATCGTATTCCATCAAAATATGTCACTTGCTTTAGAAGGCGTATTTGGGATATCTATTTTACAAAATATTTCTCAGCTACTTACCAGCAGCACGCGTTGTGCATCTGGACCAGTTCTGAGTTTGTCGCAGTGAAGGGGTGGGGGGAAAGCAGCAGCAGCCACTTGAAAATGGGCTGTGCTCTGCAGAAGGGATAAGCGCTATGGAAAGAAATGAAATGCCTTGGGATTAGCCTCAAAATTCCTCCCAAAACAGAAAATCATATTAAGCATTACATGTTAAAAAGTACATGCTCATCAAAGGACAAATTTTAACAGCTAAACCCTTGATCTAAAATGCACTTAAATGGCCTTGATTTCCAGTGGAACCCCTACAATGCCATGGGTTTTTGGCTCTCCCGTCTCCTAGCAACTGTCTCATTAAGGTTTTTTTGTTGTGTTTTTTTTTCTGCAGTGGTCCTACTAGGCATCAGACAAGGTCTAGTCTCTGGTAGTAAGCATTACCATTTTGTTGTTCAATATGTGCTTCTCCCAGGTGAGTGATAAGGAGAGTCAAGCAGTCAATAACAAGTTCTCCAGAAGATTTTGGTTTCCAATAACATTCCATCCAAAGAACATAAATTGTTCTTGTCCCTGCCCTTGGTGCAATACGGCCATTAGACTCTTGACCTAAAGATGAGCCTCTAGCAAAAGATGCCTAACCCCTTCTGTAATCCCCAAATTACACAATATCTCACAAGTAGAAATCTAGGTCCTAAATCAGTGTTGTGATCCACTGTGCTCAGTGAAGAAAAAAAAATAATAATGCACGGAATTCATCTGTATTTTTATCCCTGTCACCATGACCCTTACCCATCAGCATGGCTACTGAAGATATATGTCATAAAAACAGTGGATGAAATATAACCAGATAAAAAACAACCCATTCATCTATAATTATTGACATGGAAAATATTGACTATATGTTAAGGAAATAAGAGCAGGTTCCTATACAGTATGCATAATATGATCACGTTTATATCTTATTTGGATAGGAATGAATTTACAAAAAGAGATCTGGAAGGATATGTACCAAAATGTTAAGAGAGATTATGTCTGGGCTTTCTATGCATAGTAGAATTTGAGTGGAGTTCAAATTATTTTTCATTTTGATTATTTAATAACTTTCTGCAATTAACATATATCCCTTAGGTTATCAAAAGAGAACCATGTACAACAATGTGAATGTACTTACAGCCACTACACCATACACCTAAAATAGTTAAAATTATAAATGTTATGTTCTGTATATTTTACTGTAATAAAAAGAAGAGTGAGAACCATTCATTTACCCAAAAAACATGTATTGAGTCTCACCACATTCAAAATCTGTACTGGGGGCAGAGATTAAAAAAATAAATAAAACACAGTCCCTTCCTCTTTGAAAAGTTCATTATCTAACCAACAACTACTCCCAAAATTTCTTTCTTTTTTAAAATTAGTTTATTGGGGTGACAGTTGTTAGTCAAGTTACATAGGTTTCAGGTGTACAATTCTGTAATACACCATCTATATATCACATTGTGTGTTCAATATGGGTTTTTATCATAGATGACATATAGCATTGTTGCATTTAGAAATACAGGTATTTTGCTAACATCCTTTTTTTTATAATTTCAGCAATTTTGGGTAACATTTATAATTAGGATCGTTACATTGTCTGCCTAAAAATATTGGACTTCCAGTGGGTGGAAGAAGTAAAGAAATAAATATTAAATTTTAATATGTAAATATATATGTGCATTTGTATACTTGTATAGAATTGTCATATTTGAAAAAGGCGGGACAAGGAAACTGTTCTAGATCACAGAAGATTAAAGAGATATGACAAAAAAAAGACATCATGTACAATGTGTGATCTTTGATTGGATCCTGAATAGAAAATAAAACAGCTATAAAAGATATTTTGGGAACAATTGGTACATTTGAATATAAATTAGATATTAGATAATATTAGATCAATGTAATAGTTGTTTGGTATGATAATACAGAATGATGAACTTGTTCTCATGAGACAAATGTAGCAATATGTTAATAATTGGTAAATCTGCGTTAAGTATATATAGATGTTTACTGTGTTATTCTTTGATCTAAATTTCAGAAAAATTAAGAAAATACTTTAATGAAAATAATTATTGCACAATAATTATATTTAAAGTTAAAATTTTTATATGTTTTGGAATGAATGACAATTAGATTTGCAATCCCTCAGAGCTTTCCATAAATTGGATGATACATATTTGTCATGCGCCATCTAGTGGCGGAATCCTGATTTACTACGACCGAAACATTTCTAAAGAACACAATTTGACAATTTACCCATTAGATATTACTATAATTTGATTGTAACAAATAAGTAAAAATAAAGGTATTTCTTATTACTGTATGTCATAGAGTTAAAAGGTTCCCTTAAATTTCAGTATTTATTTTTGGTTATAGTGGAATGCTCAGGTGTCCTAACAACATGGCACGTGTCCACGCAGACCCCATAGGCAAAGCTCAAATGCAAATTCACATCAATCTGTGAATAAAATATCCTGTGAGTCTCCTTGGAACATGGCAAGACAATCAATCTTGTGAGGGCTGTTTTTCTCCACCTCCCTATCTTCTGGGGGGCTGCCAGGAGGCAGCGCCTCATCCACATCCCTCATTCTGGTGAGGCATGGGACTTTCCGTCTTGCTGCTTCCCTTAGGGTACAACTTCCGGTTATAAAACCAGCTAGATAGAATATGGAAACAGTTCCTCCATAATAGAGTGACTCACTGCTCATGTCATCTGTCATCTTGTCCCTGTGATTAATTTTCATCCTGTGGGACCAAGGATGTGAAGAGCTGACACCTTGCTGATCTTCTGAGCTCGCTTTTGCTGTCCTTCTAAGTAATAGACAGTTTGCATCCGTTTGGCTCATTGTCTCCTTACCAACTGAATGATATGGCAGAGTAGCATCCCAAACCTAGCCGCTCCTGTGGATTAGAGACTTCGCCATTGCTTGGCAAAAAGTATCTGCAAATGTGTGTGTGTGTGTGTGTGTGTGTGTGTGTGTGTGTGTACACACAAAAAGAGGGAGAGTGCACAAACTTCTTATATTCTGGTGAAATTTGAAAGCTTTCTTTTTAAAATTGGAAACAAGAGGGGTGTTGTTGCTTTTTTAACTTCTATTCAACATTGTGCCAGGGTGGGGGTGAGGTGGAAGGCAGTGGCCAGTGTAGTATAATTACATAAAGCAGTCAAAGGAATAAAGAGTAACATGATGAGATTAACACAGCCACCCAAGTAACAACTTAGTCATAAGTAAAGGAGTAACAAATCATGAAGATAAAACTATATGGCTTCACTGTGAGTCCAACACATTGCTTCAAACCAAATAAGTAGCGTTGGCTCTCAGCAAACACCCCTTTTCCCTCCCAGCCATCCCAGTGCAGTGGCTCTTGATTTGACTTGCCTGCTTAGTCACCTCATGGAAAATTTCAGTCCCACTCAGGAGCCAACCTGAAAACGTTCCCAATGGGCATCAAAACATCATCATCATCATCATCATCATCATCATCATCATCACTGCAACGCATCAAATATATGAAAATCAAAACTAACCCCCCAAATCATTGGTTACCACTGGTAACAATCCCTTATTCTGAAAATTGGAAATATTGAAGCATTTATCTTAACTCTTCTGTGCAGACCGTATTTCAACATGATCAAGTAGCTAATAAGGGGAAGCTCTTTTTTTTCTTTTTAAAAAAATTTCCAGCTAATAAATACAGAAGGAATGAGAGAATTGGGGGGAAGAGGGAATCACCATTTTGCAACTCTCAGCAAAACAATGAATCTAAGCAACAATCTTCAACAGCTGCCAAAACCATTTAGTGAACGATTAATGAGAAACTTTTTTTTAATACAATCTTTTTTTTTTTAATTGGGGAACAGTTTGTTTTTCCAGGACCCATCAGCTCCAAGTCAAGTAGTTGTTTCAATCTAGTTGTGGAGGGCGCAGCTCAGTGGCCCACGTGGGGATCGAACTGGCAACCTTGGTGTTATGAGCACTGCGCTCTAAGCAACTGAGCCAACCGGCCGCCCCTGAGGAACTTTTTAAACAACAGAAATAACTTCCCAGGCCCAATCTCCCCAATATCTTTTATAATGGTCGGATAATTGTTTTATTAAGTCTGGGAAAGTGTAACAGGAGAAGAGAAAATTATAGCTCTATCTTGTGTTCTAGAATTCCACCATTTCCAAACAAGATGTTAATATTTTTATTGGTGAGTTCTAGAAAGGATATTTATACCAAAGGAGGGACTCTATTCTAGGCCTGGCCTAAATTATTCCCTGATTTAAATGTAATCCAATCGAAATGTTTGAAATAAAATAAACTGTTTAGGAAGGATCCTTGAGATATTACATTGTTTTGTACATCTGAAACTAATTTTTTTTAAAAAAGAGGAAATCCAACAGGATCAATATGTAAATGGAGAAAAGTTTAACCTCTCTAGGAAATGAAGAAATGGCAAATAAAACAACAAGAAACCATATTACTCTTGGCAAATGAATAAAGAGCTGAAAAGTTTTTAAAAAAAGGAAGATTGAGGAAATAAGCTCCCATGTTTACATATGTAAATTGATTTGAAAGCCAAGTTGAATTTAGTTGTCTGGAGTGTTTCGAAGCATCATTCTTGAACTGCTAACAACAGTTATGCCCCCTGACACAGGGCTGTTCTGGCACAAAAATTGAACTTGGTGACATTGAACAGAACACAGTCAAGGAATAAAACCATCCTTTAAAAAAAAAAGATGGAAACAAGGGATTGTGGACTGTTCAGGCAGGTCATCAGTGCTACTGATGCGAGACCCTTGGGACTTTGGAGGTGATCCCTGGACCCACATTTGGGACAAGGAAGAGAGCACCACTGAGCCACAGGCGCACTAACAGACTCAATAACAGA